TGGGATTGCAGGGGTGTGTGTGTGTGTGTGTGTGTGTGTGTGTGTGTGTGTTACGAGGCCTGGCCCTGGTCCTATTATTTATAAACTGTAAAAAACAGGTCATGAGGCAGAAAGAATAAAACCTAGTACCTAGAGGAGACAACTGTGTGGAAGCTGCTGGCATACTGAGAAATATAAGGGTGCTCACGGATGGATACTTTCTCGTCTTGAACACCAAGTCAAGGATGGCTCCCAGAATGTGGGTCCGAGTGCGTGTGTGTGTGTGTGTGTGTGTGTGTGTGTGTGTGTGTATGGTGGCATCTTCAAGAAGACTGGAAACACAGGAGTTGGGGTGTGGATGTTTTCAGGCCTCGGAGCCTCTAGTAAGCTGTTAGGCAGGAAGCTAGTTAGCACCTGCAGCTCTGGAGCACCAGGGCTGAAAATGAGATTCTAGAGTCATTAACAGAGAGGAGGCAATTAAAACTGTGGGAGTGGCAGCGATGCCCAGCGCAGGCACAAGGCGCCAAGAGTTAGTGAGGGAGCTGGCACAGTGGGGTCCTAGGGAAAACCTCAAGGACAAAAAGCCTTGTGGCTCTTGCAGTCTGAGAAGCTGCAAGCACCCAGGTTATCAGCGGGAGGAGAGCGAGGGAGGGGCAGAGAGAGGCGCAGGGGGTGCCAACTTGGGCAACCGGGTAGTCCAAGCGCACCAGGCAGGAGGGCGTGGTCAGCGGGGAAGAAGGGAGCGGGTAGCTCCGAGGCCCGGGTGGCTTGGGCAAACAGGAGGTCATTCCGGACTTTGGGGGGCGGGCACAGGCCAGGCGGCAGAGAGTAGCAGAGCGAGTGTGCGTGTGTTGGGCGGGACGGAAGGTGAGCCAAGTGAGGACACGGACACCTGGGAGGAAGCGGATGCTGCAGGCCGGTGCCACGACCAGGAGTAAGTCACCTGGGAGGGGCCGAGAGCCTGGCCTCGCACCTCGGGGAGCGTCCTGCGGGCAGGGGGCGGCGCGGGCCGCGGGGGCAGCCGAGGGGGCGCGGGGCGGCT